CACATTGCCATTGTATATTTACTTATCCTTCGGACTTTACACAGTTCTTGATAATGGGCTCCTGAATGAGTTCGAAAGCTTAGACTAGTAAACTGGCCGTTCCATTGATCGTACCTTCGTCTTATTTACCACAGGAACCTAGTACTCGCATATTCTTCTCTAATCCGACCGTCTTTTTGACGTTAGCGGTATTCTTTGGTCAGCCTCGCTGCGGTTATTCAGATCCCATGTCTGCCGCAAATTATACATAACCGGAATACGTAAGTCCGACCGTCGGTTCCAACAGAACCTGTGATGTCCCCCACAGCCCGGTAGCGCGCTAACGGTGACTTGCGCGTGAATTGGTTTATAGTGCTAGTACACTTGCGCGACGTTTACCGAACTCTCCGACCGGGGTCATGACCAAGCCAGGAAGACGGGTGGCAGCAGTGGGTGAAGGTTGCGGGCGCGCCAGGAATCCGCATCTAGACTTACCACTACACCCCTCTCATGTGCGCTATCGGTCCTGCGGGTGCATTCCCCGTAACGCCAACCGAGCCTTGATCTGACTCCCATATTATTCCAGCGCATCTACCGCGTGGCTGGTTTAGGGAGCACATAACTAGGTAAATACACGTTGTACACGGGAAACAAGACAGGCTCTGAGACCGAAATTGCGATCCGCGAGGAAAAGGTGGCCAAGAATAGTCTGCGTCTTGCTCGTAGGCATGACGCATCGCAGGACGGGCCTAGAAGGAACTTTCCTTCAAATTTCATATTTTCGTTGGTTTTCGGGTCTGTGGTAGGGGCGATCAGCCGGGGAAACACGAGGAAAGTAGACAGACAAATCAATTGTTTGATTTTAAGCATTTGAAGCGAAAGATATTTATTATTCACTATGGGTAGATAAGTGCGGTGTCTCAAAACGGAAGATGAGGCAAGCTGGAATGGTTGACTGTCCTGCCTGTCATTTCGAGTCATATCCGAGCCCGCCAACCTCGGCATTCCACCTAGGGTCGGTTGGCTATCGAACCAAACCGGTTGCAAGGTGGGCCACGTGTCCACCGTTGGCCGCGCTCCTGAATACTCGAAGTCATCCGGGGATGTTTTCACTGGTCTGCCCCGACTGTAAGATGAAACACAGTAGATAGGTCTTGATTAGCGTTCCGGTCTGGATTCCAATCTGTAGATCGCAGAACGCGACTCCGTCGCTCATAAGGCATTATCGGCAAAGACCAGAAGAACCTGAATGGTCCTTTATCCACATGTACCGTTAAGCAACATTTGTATCTCCTTGTAATCAGGCTACATGAGTAAAGAACACCCTTTGGCGATATTTCAAGTGGGAAATACGTCTAAACCTCAGCTGCTGTCCGAAAAAGTTCTTATTGATTATAACCCACAGTAGGGGCGCAATGAGCTAAATGATTTGTCGCGAGCTGGAGGAGGATCGTGACATTCCGAATTTGTGCAGCGTATTGTACTTTCTATCACCTGTGTAGGATGATCGATTTCTCCTTTCCGCCG